TAATATGCCTGCCCATTAACAATGAGCTGTGGAAAAAAAGATTCATTCATCAGACTAACAAAGAATTTGTGATCTTTTAGTTGCTACAGCCATGATTAACACTCAAGTGTGCGGCTCGTCTTCGGAGAACAGTTTCAAAGCAATTAGTGTTGCATTGTGGAAGTACAAGTAATGACATTTTCTAATAGGTCAAAGTTCAACTGCTCAGCTTGTTGACTCGCTCAGTCATAAGCAATTAAGATATTCTGACACTCAGACCAGAGATAATTATACTGGATTTATAAGAATAAATTGTTGACAGAGTATTTTGAATTACTCGGTCCATCTTGTCATTCATTATACTTTATCCTCATGGAAAGTTTTCATAAACAGATAACACTATGGATTTATTTACAGGTATAAGTAGATTTATTTTTTTGTTATTTACAAATCTTAATTGTAAACATTAGCATTTCAATTTAAAATGAAAGGTTTGAAGGATTCTTCGAAGAGTCCGAAAACTGCCATTCAACAGTCACACTGGCTTAAAACCTCAGTAACAAATAATACAGATGTCTACTCTAAACTAAAAGTACACTATAGTGTATGGGGGTCTTTCACTGACTGTGTTGTTGCTGCTGTCTCCATCTACATGTACAGTATGACCCACAGATGGCTTGTTTATGCTGTATTGTCAAATTGCATCTTGGGAAATGTTGGACAGCTGATGTGTAGAGAAGATGAATCCAACGAAGAAAAAATGTATGTTTGTAAAATCGGTTTAAATATTCATTGATCAACTATTTATAATTTTGAACATTTTCTTTAAGCAAACTTACAATGCATCAACCAACAGATATATATATATATAAATATATTTTATTCTTCATGTATGGATTAGGAAGATGGATGAGAGCCTGAATTATGAGGGATAACAATGATTCACCTTTGTTCATGAATGTGCGTCAGTGCATATACGTGTGCACAGTACGTGTGTGGGCCTCACCTGTCAGATCCCCTAAACTGCCTTTAATGTGAACCGCGTTCATGCAGGATCCCAGGTGGGAAGTGCCTGATGAAGCATTTGGCAGAAAGTGGGGGGACTTGGTAGTTGCAGGGGGTCGCAGGAGATTGACAGATCTACCGTGGGTGGTGGCTAGCGTGTCGGAAAAGGAGCGACCACCCAATCACCTTCAAGAGACAGGAGTGGGAGGATAATTACAAGTATTCCTGTCACAGGCGTCACGTTCCCATTGATGCACTGGAGTGAGACCAGGCGCGATGTAAGGAGCCGAGTGGGCGAGATAGAAAGACAGGAGAGACATGAGAAGTTGGATGGCAAAGACTAATTAATTAAATTCTGTTTTTGTCCTTTTATGTGCTCATATTGTTTGCTGAATGTGAAAAGCTTAAACAGAAGAAAAAATAATTTCTTCTCAATTTCCAGAGAAGAATAATATGATAAAATACTCAAATTAGAGCTTTGAAATCAAGCAAAAGTGCATAGACGAAGGATAAGCAGTTTGCTAAGGTTTTTGTGTCTACGAACAAAGCATGTCAAAGCTACAAAAGCCACACATCTAAATCTAAAAAACAGAAAGGCTTGTACATGCATCTGTGTATTAATGGCTTTTAACATCCGTCTTGTTGCACGTGAGTGGGTGCTGATGGTTTAGCATAAATGGCCCTGAAATAGCAACACAAAGCTAACAGTATCTCTGTCACACACAGCCAACAACTACAATTCATCAGTGTTACTACTTTTCAGGATCAGACTAACACATGGCATTGGAGGAGCCAATCGGTTTCCATATCTACGTATGAAAAAGGCAACTCATGGCAAGAGGAATGTGTTAAATGGACTTTATTTATAAAGTGCGCTATCCAGTCTTATATGACTCATGAAATTGCCATACATAAACAAGTATTCAAACACCCATTCAGACACATTCCTACAGACGCCTTCTGAATGGAAGACGAACACGCTGGCTCACAGTCAGTTACAAACATGTTGACTTCCCTTTGACAGTTTCTGCACTCCTAAAAGCCCTGACTAACAACAAACATGACTCACCCTGATCTATAACTTTATTGTACTGCTGACTTTTATCTGTGATCATTTAGGTTAATGGAAAATTCATTTTTCTTACAACCTGGGTTTTAGGTTAACTATATCCGTCCAGTATTCCTACTATTTGTGAACTTCAGCAACATGAGGTTTTAAATGAACCTGCCTCATATGATACATCTAGTCCTGATTGATCCATTTGGCTTGGTTGTATTTAATGTTTATAAAAAAAAATTTTTTTTAAATCACTATGTGACACACTTTTAAAAATGGTATGACCAAATGTCTCCACTAATGTAAAGAGAAAAGAGAACAAAGGACCTTTCTGGAAAAATAGCTTTCCAAAACCTTGACTTTTTTGTTCAATTGCCAGAGGGATTACATCTCAGTACAGTAATTACACGCTATCAGTCGGATTCCGAAGAGGCTGGCTAGCTGAACAGCTAGCACCACCAGTATGGGCTCAGAACAGTCTCATAATACACACATGCACACAGAAGGATTCACACTTGTATTTCCGGATCCACACTTGTGTTTTTCAATGCACACACAAATGTGTTCCGTTTCATATACATGTAAATAAAATTCAAATACAGAAAAAAGTTTTACATATGTATTTTTGATCCTCAAATATTTGTTTTCCGTTTAAAACCTCTGAACCTGCAAACACAAACCGCTTTATGTGCACAGATCGCTGTGCATTCGTGTGTGGGTTTTTTGAGACTCCCCTGACGCTCACCCGATTCGTACTTGTAATTTTTCCTATCTATAGCCAATCAGATGTCTCCTCAATTCTAAGCCAGCAGCTGACTTGGCTTGCTTCTTTGATTGGTGGAAGGGAGCGTCCAGTGTTCAGCAGAAGAGGGCTGCTCTGGTAGAGGCGCACCGGTTGGCAACAGAGAAACCATGTTTAATGAAGTTTTTACCTGGCTGGATTATGGACTTCCTCCAGACATGTGATTCCCCGCCTGCTAGCCCCAGGCATGCTAGCTCCCTGCCTCCCAATTCCCAACCTGACACCATACGTCTGGTGTGTTCCGTCTGGAGTCAACCCCTGCTTCTTCCCCATTTCCTGCTCCTGTCCAGAAGCCGTTCTCGGGTACTCGTCTGGCTTTTGGAGGTCCACTGAGACTCCAAAAGGCTCCTAAGAGAAGGAGTCGCAAGACCAGGCTAGCAGCCCGAGCCCCAGAACCCATGCTTTGGGCTCCAGTACAGCAGTGTTAATTTCGTCGTTGACGAAAAATGTTCGTCAACGACCTTTTTTAC